AATTAACTTTGATATATATATATATATATTTTTTTAATAATCAAAGAGGTTCTGGGCCGAAACTCATACACCCCCTCAAATCCGAGACCAAAGAATGTTATATGGTCTCGTCCCAAGCGCTACTCGAACCGGCGACCTCTAAGCTTTTGCCAGAGATCTTTACCAATTGAGTTATTAACACATGGTTATTAACTTTGATTTTATCCTTATCAATTACTTTGATTTTATTCTTATCAATTATAAAAGGTAAAATATATACACACACAGAAGAAGGGAATAAATCTTAATAGTGTGACCTTCTTAAAATGAAGGTGCGGAGAAAAAAATGAGTTCACACTATTCAATCACTCATCAGCTGTTTTTCTGCATCTTCTCTTTCAATCTCTATTAGTTGTATATTATTCAATTTTATTAAAACTGATATGACATTGTAATCATATGTAAACTCATGGGACACTTTATGCCAAATTATCTTAAACATATATATTTTTACATGTATTGTAAATTATAATAAAAAACTTGTATTATTATTGAAAAAGGGACTTATGAAAAATCCTTGTAAAAAGACAAAAAGATGAAGGACACATACACTTCCTTCAATTACAACCACCAAAATTATTCCATAAACGTCTTGAAATTAAAAACATAGTTCCGAAATGTCTATTCGACATAGTTCCGAGGATCATTTGTTTCCCTTGAGAGCATCAAGAGAGAAGCCGAAGCCTTCCTCTCTTCAACCCTGCATATTTCTGCTCGAAGGGCCTCCAGTTTCCCCTTGAAAGCAACCAAGACCTCCATTTTCTGTTCTACAGTCATCTTCTCAAGATTTTCTTGATTCCTCTTACTAAAAATCTAAAATTTACAAAAAGAATTTATAAACATAAGATATATTTTATATATATATATGAAAAATAATGGGACACATACCTCCTTAGGCTCTTCACCCATGAGACATTCAAGTACATTGTTGAAGAATGATTCAACATCAGGCCTCTTGGTAAGTTCATCAGCCATCTTGGCAAGTTCATCAGACTTCTTGGCAAGCTCATCAGCCATCTTAAAAATGCAAGCTTGACGTCTCGAAAAAGTAGATAGCCTTGATCTTTTGCTCTGGCTGAGTTTTATCGATCTCTTTGTACGGCCCATTTCTTAATTTTAGAGAGATGTTTTTGGTGTTGTTGTTGCTCTTCTTGTTACTACTCTACTCCATATTTATAGATAGATTGGGTCAACAAGGTTAAATTCACTCTGACATTTCTATCTATGATATACATTTTTCATAAAAATATTTGACTTTACCTTTAAAAAATATTTATCTTATAAGTGATACCAAAAATAGTGTTTTAATATAATTTTATTTCTATTATATTTCATTCAACATAAATTATTTTAGATAACTATTAGTTTATGAGTAAATATATGACACAAAAAATTATATCAAAGTAATTTTTTTTTGGAAAACTTATCTTGAAAATACATAATATTTAGGAAAAAATAAAAATATTATTTATATTATTAGTAATGCTTATGGTGCTAATTTGTTTTGTTTTGCTATTTCTCCTACACTGTACATTTTTAAAAGTTTTTGTAAATTATTACTTTTTGTACTTCTAAATTAAAACTAGAGTTTTAAGAATTCAAATTTAAAAGTTCCAAATTCAAATATAGATCTCTATAAAATATATGATTGCATATAATAAAAGTGCAAGCTTTTTTTTTTTGGTAAATCGACGGGAGTTAGTGCCCTCCCTATGTTTTATTAAAAAAATTAAAATTATACATAAACGTTTCTCGGCCGAGGCGAACCAACAATATCCTCTCGCAAAATCGACGCCACATCCGGCGGAATAACATTAAAACAATAAAAACCTAAAGGTAAAGAAAATGCATAGTTTGCTAACCCATCGGCAAGACGGTTAGCTTCCCTATACACGTGAGAGATACGGACAATCCAGTCCTTTGATAAGAAGCCATAGCACAAACGTACTAGGAACGACAGCGGATGAGCATCACTAATCCCTGTCGTGAGAAACCCGACCACCACCTTCGAATCCACTTCAAGCTCTACTCGTGTAACCCGACGCTCCCACGCCATGTAGAGACCATAATACACCCCCCATAACTCTGCCAAAGGTGCGGATCCTACCCCAATATTCACCGCAAACCCACTGCACCAACTACCTGCACTATCCCTTAAGACTCCGCCTGCTGTAGCATAACCAAGATGACCCCGTGAAGCACCATCTGTGTTTAATTTAACCCAACCATCACTATGACATGCCCATTTTATCAGCCTTTCAGTTCGGACCCTAGTGTCTGGTATACCTCGCACCACAGCATGAGCCATTGTTACTTCCCGTGCAGCATCTTTAATAAACTTAACGCGATCTCTGCACCTCAAATCTGAACCAAAAACATTCCCACATCTCCATTTCCAGCCCCACCACACAGCCAACGCATAAACAGTGGCCCATTTACTCCCCTCACTCTCCCTCGTATCACTTAAGTTCTCATACACCCATTCGAAAAGAGATAAGGAGAAGAAAGTCCGCACCTTCCCACGAGGGACCAAGCGCTCCCACAAACCAGCCATGGCTGGACAGTCCCTTAGGATGTGGAGAATAGTCTCCTCCCCGGATCTACAAACAGAACAAACACTTGTATCAGACAAGTGTCTACGGTGCCGTTCCACGTTCGTCATAAGCGCTCGATTAACAACCAGCCAAAGGAACAACCTAGTCCTCTCAGGGATCAGCGCCCTCCAAATCCGCTCAAAAAATCTCTCCAACCTCTGTCTAGGTAAGCCATTATGGGTAAGAGTGGCATAGGCTGAAGAAACCGTAAACTCCCCATCCAGACCTGCTCCCCAAGATAACCTATCCTTCGCACCTGTAACATCATCAATCACCACAGATTTTAACCTTAAGGCTGTCAGCTCGGAAACATAAGTCCCTATATTCGCGAAGTCCCAACCACTCCCATCTCTCCACATATCACGAGCTTTCACCTCCGCGTATCCTTGGGGGAGATCAACAAGGGCCATGTCCACTAGAGAGGTGTTATTTACCCACTTATCAGTCCAAAACCGTATACTTCTACCGTCCCCAATCACCCAACTAGACCCCGGTAGCACAACCTCTTTAATCCCGACCATCACACTACGCCAAGTGGATGACCAATTCCCCTTTTTCACCATCCATCTTTGGTCATGAACCTCCCCAACTTTGTATTTACTTCTCAAAACTTGAGCCCAAAGACTAGTCTTATCCCCCAGCAGCCGCCACCCTACTTTAGCTACCAAAGCTACATTTATTTCACGGGTTTTACGAATACCCAAGCCACCCTCCGTCTTAGGTAAACAGACCTTATCCCACGCAACCAAGTGCTGTTTCCTCTTTTCTTCACTACTGCCCCATAAGAAGTCCCGAGATAACCTTTCCAGACGATCCAAAGTGGCCTTAGGCAAACAAATAATGCTCATTGTATGAACCGGGATAGACAAAAGAACAGCTTTCGTTAACGTTAACCGTCCTGCCATACTCAGGAAACGACCTTTCCAACCCGCAAGACGCTTAGTGACTCGCTCCACTACCTCCCCAAAGGTATTCTTGTTAATTCGTTTCTGCAAAATAGGCATTCCCAAATACTTCCCCAAGTCTTTAGTAGCTTTGATCCCGCTCTCATCACTTATCAACTTAGCCAAATCACGGTGCACATTTTCGGAAAAATAGATAATGGACTTATCGAGGCTCACTTTCTGACCCGAAGCAGCACAAAATCTTTCAAGAACCTGCCGGATCACTCTAATCTGATCCACGGATGCTTCTGCAAACAAAATGAGATCATCCGCAAAGCAAACATGAGAGATCTTTGGCCCTCCACGAGATAAGGAAATCGGTTTCCACTCCTTACCAGCAACAGCATGCTCTATCTGATGACAAAGCCTTTCCAAACAGAGCACAAATAAATAAGGGGATAACGGGTCTCCTTGACGCAAACCCCGCTCAGGACTGAAGGATTCCGTCTTTTCCCCATTCCAAAGAAGATTCATAGCTGGACCCGTAACACACGTCAGAATCCAATTAACCCATTGCTCCGGCAGCCCGGCCCCCTTGAGGGTATCTTCTAAGAAATCCCAGCGGATGCGATCATAAGCTTTTTCAAGGTCAAGCTTAAGAAGCATCCACCCCTTCCAACCTTTCTTACGCCTCATCGAATGAACTGCTTCTTGAACAATAACAATATTGTCAGTGCTCAACCGCCCCGGAATGAAACTTGCCTGAGCTGGCCCAATCAGTTTGGATATCACCCCCTTGAGACGAACCACCATAGTCTTTGTAATTGTTTTAAACAACACATTACAGAGACTAATGGGTCTGAACTGCATAATCCGTTCTGGTTTCAAAACCTTAGGTATAAGCACGAGCAAGGCATCATTCATGGACTGTGGGAGATACCCTGTTTCAAAAAAATCCAACACGAACCGGACCACCGAAGAACCCACCACTTCCCAACAATGTTGATAAAAAACCGGTTGAAAACCATCAGGCCCTGGTGCCTTATACTTACCCATACTTCTAACCGAGACCTCAATCTCATTAGCAGTAAACGACTTATTTAGGTCTGCTAACTCATTTCTAGTCAGTCGCTCAAAACCAACTCCAGAGAGACCCTCCACCACTCTCTCAACATCGTCAAGCGAGTACAGCCTCTTGTAATAAGAGAGCGCAAGCTTCCAACTCAGGTGGATCAGAAACCCATCCACCTTCGTCATTCTTCAAAGCTTCAATTCTATTGTGTCTTCTCCTTATTATGGTTGACGTATGGAAGAATTTCGTTTTACGGTCACCTAAAGCCACCCATTTCTCCCGAGCCTTCTGGAACCATAACACCTCCTCCTGCTCAAGGACCACATCAAGCTCTTTAATCAAACCTGCTTCTTTCTCCAGCAGCTCGTCTGTTTGGTTTACATCAAGACAATCCTGAATTAGTTTGATCTCCTCCACCAACGAGTCCTTCCTTCTCTGAATATCCCCAAATACTTCCCTATTCCACTTCTTCAAAGTCATACGCAGCCCATCTAACGCATCTGGCGTGCTCAGCTCCGTGTTCCAAGAATTAACAAGTAGCTCCTTGAACCCGGTATGAGACAACCAAGCAGCCTCGAAACAGAAAGGTCGTCTTTTGGGGTTACCTTTCACTGCTGGAGATAATTGCACATAAAGAGGAGCGTGATCCGAAGAGAGAAACGGCAAATGAGAGACCTTTGCTTCCTGCCATTTCAATCGTGAGTGAGCACAACACAAAACACGATCCAGACGCTTCGCGATGAAATTCTGCTGAACTCTACCTCGACGCCATGTGAATTGATTCCCCTGGAAACCCATATCAATCAACTCCAGCTCGTTGATCCAATCACCAAACGCCAAAGAGTCAGGTGACAGTTGACCATTTCCCCCTGTCCTCTCATCCACACGAATTATTGTATTGAAATCACCCCCGATCACCAAGGGACCATTGATACCTTGCACCAGAGTCTTCAAAGCCCCCCACAAACCACTTCTTCTACTGACAGTAGGAGCTGCATAGACAACCACTAAATGAACACTCTCCAACCCCTGTTTCACTTTCGCGTGGATAAACTGAGCCGAAGACTCCACAATCTCCAAATCACCCACATTAGACCTCCAAAGCAACCATATACCCCCACTCTGCCCTTCCACGTCCACTCTAAACGAGTTGTCAAAACCCAAACCGTGACAGATACGACGAGCTCTGTCTCCTCCGGCATGCGTCTCCAAAACAGCCAACACATCCGAAGGGTTCCTCTTCAAGATGTATCTAATGGATCTTCTAAAATTGGGTTTGTTCGCCCCCGGCAATTCCACAATATGAAATTCATCATGAGAGGGATTAAAAAACAAAGAATTGCCGGGGAACCCCGTTACGCCGACACTGTATCCGCCGCAGGCGGCGGCGAACCATTATGCACCACCAGCTGGCCCCTCTCGCTTGAATTGACCGTATCGCCGCCGTTAACCACCATCTCGCGCAATGGGACCGATGATTCCTCATTTCTTCCCGACAGCACGATCCCGCCTGCTCTCCCAACCATTGTCGATTCCACTGTCATCCTCTTCCCCGAAGCAGACAATTCCACCTCTCCCCTTGTCGGACCAAAAACAAGACCCCGAGTGGGCTTCAGCTGCGTGTATTTAGGCCCAGTAGTTTCTCCCGTTTTAAAAACTCCAGCCTTTCGATTTTTACCAGCCTCTTTGTTACTTAACGGACCCTTCTCCCCCGTTTCACGTCGCGGGCCCATTCTAACGTGGCCCATATGCTTTTCCTTACTTGAAAACTTAACGGGATATTCATTCTCCTTATTATCTCCCGTAACACACGCAACGGGTCTTGATTCAGTTGACATATTCTGATCTTCCAACATACCAAAAGAGTTTGAAATAGGAATCTGCGCACTTTCCTTAACACTTGGAGCCTCATTAAGGTTTATTTTCCTTTCTTGTCCCACGTTAATCGCTTCCACCAGATCTTGTGTTGACGATGACGGAGCTTTCCGACCTTGTCTCCTCACCGGAATAAAACCATCCACACCTTCAACAACTGCCTCTGATCCGCATTGAACATCTCTCGCATTAGCAGCAGTCTCCTTATCATTTATCCCACGAGGACAAGCATGCACCGGATGTCCATACAGACCACAACGAGAGCATATATTCGTGAGACCTTCATAAGACACAAAATACCTTCCACCATTAATCATGATTGTCCCTTTCAACGGCTTAGCCAAGTTCACTTCCACACATATCCGAGCGAATCTGGCCCTCTCAAAATTCAGTGTTGTAAGATCCACCTTGAGAGGATTCCCTAAACCACGAGCTATCAAAAACAAAATATCCTTGTGATACAAGTTCACCGGGATATTAGTTAGACGAATCCAAAACGGGGTCGTGACAATCTCGTCGACAAGAGGATCAAACTCCGGGGTCCAAGCTTGCACCATCAAGATACTTCCAAAAACTCTCCATGGACCCCCTGTTAGCGCCGCCAAATATTCCTCCTCCAACTCGAAGCGGATCATAAAAAACCTCCGTGGTAAATCAATCACGTACATGGCCCCTTTCGGCATCCACATCTCCCTCAGACGCTTGCTCAACACCGGGAGGGTCACTGTTCTACTCAGCACTTTCACTATAATACACCGTTGCCACAAAGTATTCATGACCCGTAAGACCTCATCCCCAATCGTAACCACTGCTTCCCCCTCTTCACCTTCCGGGAACTCCAGTCTGCATTTCTCTGCGACAAAAGCTTCGCCAAACAGCTCTTCCGGTATCAACCGACCTCCAGCATTACCCCTAGTTACTTTTTCCGCGAACGTCATTCTCCGATCTGGTGGCTCCCCCGGTGGCGGATTCCTTTCTCCAACATCGATCATCGTCGCATCTTTTTCGCCCATCGACATCTTTTTCTTTTTTTTTTTAACTTCTAGAAGATAGAGTTTTTTGTTACTTCGGCTAATAAAAGTGCAAGCTGTAACTATATAATAGTCATCTCAAGATAAATAGTGCAGTGGATGCAAGAGGATCGGGGAACCCGTAGCTTTTATATGAACAAGACTATAAAATCTCAAATGATGTCAAATGCAAGGTCAAGCAGAAATTTGAATGTGCTAAGTCGTATTTGTAATAGGGCTCTGTAATGTTTTATGTTTTAATATACAGTTAAACCTAAATCTAGTTGTATTATTATTGAAGATGCATGATGCTAAGAAAAAGATAAGGAAGTAGCGAGAAAGTAATTTCAAAAGCGGATAAAAGTCTTTCTTCATAATCAGTACAAATAACAGTATCATATAAATTCACTCCCAACAGTATGAGTACATATGTAATGATGTAATCAATGTGTAAAGAGCCGAATTCAACCTATACAATTTCAAAAATGTCGTTTTTATACCTCAACTTTAGTGCGTACCAATTTCAACCCAAACTAGATATTTTTCAAATAAACTACATGAGCTATCAAATTTATATGTTGAAAGCAACATTGACCAGATTGATATTGGCCAACTATAATGCGTCAAATACTATGTGTACAATTTTTGCTGAGTCAGATCCCACATGTACAAATTATATCGAATCAGATGACACATGTTAAAACAAAAATTTCTTGAAAACACCTTAAAACTATGTTTAAATCAAATAATACCAGATTCTTGAGAATTGTTACCCGAACCAAACCGATAATTAAATCGAATTTTTATATATATTTTTGTTTAGTAACTAACCCAACTTACCCTTTGAAATTGTACATATTGAATTTGGACCTTTACCAGGCAATCAATAACCTCATGTACTACTTCAAATTGAACCCATACTAAACTGTAATATAGTGGAGATAATTAACTTTGATATATATATATATATATATATATATATTTTTTAATAATACAAAGAGGTTCTGGGCCG